AGAGAGGAAGGAGGAAGAGGAGGAGGAGGAGGAGAGAGGGAGGAGTAGAGGAGGAGGAGTGAGGGAGGAGGAGAGGAGAGGAGGAGGAGGAGGAATGGCGAGGAAAAGGAGGACGAGAGGAGATGAAGAGAAGGAGGAGGAGAGAAGATGAGGAGGAGGAGGAGAGGAGGAGGAGGAGGAGCAGTGAAGAGTAGAGGAGGAGATTAGGAGGAGGGAGGAGGAGAAGGAGCGCGAGGAGGATGAATCAGATGATGGATACTGATGATAAGATGATCCGAGAGACATGCTGATTGATGAGCATAGGATGGGGAGGGATAAAGGAGGAAAAGGGAGGATGAGGAGGAGGAGGGAGAGAGGAGGAGGAGGAGGAGGTGGAGGAGGAGTAGAAAGAGGAGGATGAGGAGGAGGAGGAGGAGAGAGGAGGAGAGGATGATGAGGAAAAAGGAGAAGGAGGAGGAGGAAGGAGGAGGAGGAGGAGGGAAAAAGAGGGGAGGAGATGAGGAAGAGGGGAAGGAAAGGAGAGGAGGAGGAGGAGAACGAGGATGAGGAGGATGAACATGAGGAGAGGAAGAGGAGGAGGAGGAGGAGAAGGAGGAGGAGGATAAGGATAAAGAGGAGGCGGAAGAGAAGAAGGAGGATGAGAAGGAGGATGAGGAGAAAGAGGAGGAGTTAGAGGAGGAGGATGATGATGAGGAGGCGGAGGAAGGGCGGATGATGAGGAGGAGGAGGAGGACCGGAGGAGGAGAATGAGGACGCTGCGGATGAGTAGGAGGAGGAGGAGGAGGAGGACGATGAGGAGGAGGAGAGAGCTGAGGAGGAGGAGGGAGGGACGAGGATCAGGAGCAGGAAGCAGAGGATGATGAAGGATTAGGAGGGAGAGCGGCGGAAGTAGCAGGAAGTGAGGAGGAAGAGGAGATGAGGAGGAGATACAGAGGGAGATAAGGAGGGAGAAGAGGAGGATGAGAAGGAGGATGAGGAGGAGAGGATGATGAGGAGGAGGAGGAAGCGGCGCAGAGGAAGGGTATGATGAGGAGAGGATACTGAGGAGGAGGAGGAGGAGGAGGAGTAGGAGGAGGATAAGGAGGGAGAGGAGAAGGATGAGGAGGAGGAGGGGGAGAGGAAGGAGGATGAGGAGGAGAGAGATGAGGTAGCGAGGAAGAGGAGGACGAGAGAGGAGGAGGAGGTGATGATGATCATCAAGGGGATGAGGTGGAGGAGGAGATGAGGGGGAGGAGGAGGAGGAGGAGAAGGAGGATGATGAGGAGGAGAAGGAGGAGGGGGAGGAGAAGGTGAAATATGATAGTGATGATGCTGATGATGATGCTGCTGCTGCTGCTGATGATGATGCTGATGATGATGATGGTGATGATGATGCTGCTGATCAACATGATGATGAAAAGGATGATGATGCTGATGATGACGATGATGAGGAGGAGGAGGAGAAGGAGAAGGAGGAGGAAGAGGAGGAGAGGAGGACGATGAGGGAAAGGGCGGAGGAGCAGGCAAGAGGAGGAGAGGAGGAAGAGGAGAAGGAGGAGCAGGAGAGGATGAGGAGGAAGAAGGAGCATGATGATAGATAGATGAAAGATGAGGATGTAAGGAGGAGGAGGAAGAGGAGGAGGAGGAGAGGAGGATGAGGGGAGGAATGAGAGGAGGGGAGGAGGACAGGCGGAGGAGGAGGAGGCATGAAGGAGGAGGACACGGAGGCGAGGAGGAAAGGACGATGAGGACAAGAGAAAGAGGAGCGAGACGGAGGAGGAGATGATGTAGGCTGAGTAGGCGGAGGAGGAGGAGGAGAAGGAGGAGGAGGAAGAAGGAGGGAGAGGGGGAGGAAAGAAAGGGGGAGGAGAAGGAGGAGAGGATTAGGAGCAAAAAAAAAGGAGGAGGAAGATGAGGAGTAAGCAGGAGAGGAGCGGAGGAGGAGGAAGGAGGAGGAGGACACGAAAAAAAGGCGGATGAGAGGAGGAGGAGGAGAAAGAGGAGAAGAGGAGGAGGAGGGTGGAAGGAAGATGAGAGGAGGAGGATGACGATGAGGAAAGGCGGAGGAGCAGGCACGAGGAAGGGGAAGAGGAGGAGGAGACGGAAGGAGGATAAGGAGGAATATACGGAAGGATCCATGCTGATGATGAGGCGGAGGAGGAGAGGAGAGGAGGGGGATGATGGGAGGAGGGGGAGGAGGAGAGAGGAGTGAGGAGGAAGGAGGAGGAGGATGAAGCGGAGGACACGGAGGCGAGGAGAGCAGGGATGAGGGATCGAGGATAAAGGGGAGAACGAGAGGAGGATACGGAGGAGGAGGATGAGGAGGTAGGTGAAGCAGAGGAAGGAGGAGGAGAAGGTGAGGATGAGGAGAGGAGGAGGATGAGAAGGAGGATGAGGAGGAATATGGGGAGGATGAGGAAGAAGATGGGAGAGAAGAGGAGGGGGAGGATGAGGAGGAGGACGAGGATGAATGGGATGAGGATGAGGATGAGGAGGAGGAGTAGGCGGAGGAAAACGAAAAGGAGGAGGAGGAGAAGGAGGAAGGGGAGAAGGAGAACGTGGAGGCGGAGGAGGAGGATGATGCTGACGATGCTGATGATGATGCTGCTGCTGATGATGATGATGATGATGCTGATGAGGAGGAGGCGGAGGACGAGGAGAAGGATGATGAACATGACAAGGAGGATCATGGGGCGGAGAGGGATGGGGAGGAGGAAGGGTGGATGAGCAGAATAAGGGGGAGGAGGAGGAGGAGGAGGAGGAGGAGGAGGAGGAGGAGGAGGAGGGAGCATGAGGAGGAAGGGCGGATGAGCAGGAGGAGGATGTGGAGGAGGAGGAAGAGGAGAAGGAGGAGGAGGAGGATGAAGAAGAGCAGCACGAGGAGGAGGAGCAGGAATAGGAGGTGGAGGAGGAGGAGGAAGATCAGGAAGAGGATCAGGAGGAGGAGGAGGACGCGGAGGAGGGGGAGGAGGAGGAGGAGGTGGAGGAGGAGGATGAGGATGGGGAGGATGGAAGAGGACATGGAGAACAAAGATGAGGATGACGAGGAGGTGGATGAGGAGAACGATGAGGATGAGGAGGAGCATGAGTACGAGAAGGAGGAGGGGGGAGGAGGAGGGAGGAGGAGGAGGAGGAGGAGGAGGAGGAGGAGGAAGAGGAGGAGGAGGAGGCGGATGAGGAGGAGCGGAGGAGGAGGAGGACGAGGAGGAGGAGGAGGACGAGCAGGAGGAGGATGATGATGACGAGGACGGACGGAGGAGCAGGATGATGATGATGCTGCTGCTGCTGATGAGGCTGATGATCATGATGATGATGACGATGCTGATGATGCTGATGATGATGATGCTGATGATGATGGTGATGATGGTGATGCTGATGATGCTGATGATGATGATGTGGATGCTGAGGAGGATGATGAGGCGGATGAGGGGGATGATGAGGAGGAGGAGGGGGAGTAGGGCGGGGGAGGGGGAGGAGGATGAGACGGAGGAAGAAGAGGAGGAGGATGAGGCGGAGGAGGAGGAAGACAAGGAGGATGAGGAGGATGATGAGGAGATGAGGAGGAGGAGGAGGAGGAGGAGGAGGAGGAGGAGGAGGAGGGGGAGGAGGGATGAGGAGGATGAGGATGAGGAGGCATACGCGTATGATGACGCGGAGGAGGGAGGAGGAGGATGGGAGGCGGAGGAGGGGGATGATGATGCGGAGGATGATGAGTATGAGGGGGCGGATGAGGACGAATAAGACGACGAGGATGAAGAGGAGGATGAGGAGGCGGATGCTGATGTTGATGATGATGCTGCTGCTGACATCGTTGACGATGATGATGTTGATTATTATTATCATTCTTATTGTTATTATTGTTAGTATTATTATAATTCTTCTTCTTCTTATTATTATTGTTATTGTTATTATCACTATTACTATTCGTGTGCTAATTATTAGTCGTATTCCTAGTAGTATTCGTATAATAGGTATTATTAGTATTGTCGGTATGATGATTATTCATATTATGTTTATCATTACTATTATTACTACTCAGCGGAGAAAACTGAGGAGGGTGAGGCGGATGAAGATGCGGAGGCGGAGACGGAAGATGAGACGGAGGATGAGGAGGGCCAGGAAGAGGAGGATGAGGAGGATGAGGCGGATGAGGGGAATGAGGCGGAAGAGGAGGAGGCAGAGGAGGTAGGGCGGAGGAGCAAGATGAGGAGGATGAGAAGACTGATGAGGATGATGCTGATGATGATGATGAGGCGGAGGAGGAGGAATAATGCAGAGGCGGAAGACGATGCTGATGATGCTGCTGCTGATGATGATGATGCTGCTGATGATGAGGAGGATGAGTATGACGAGGTTGAGGAGGATGCGGCGGAAGATGCGGAAGATGAGGCGGAGGAGGAAGATACGGAGGAGGAAGGGCGGCTGAGCAGGATAAGGATGAGGCGGACGATTGGGAGGCGGATGAGGAGGAGGAGGAGGAGGAAGATGAGGAATATGAGCAGCATAAGGAAGAGGACGAGGAGGATGATGAGGAGGAAGAGGATGCGGAGGTGGAGGAAGATGAGCAGGAGGAGGAGGATGAGGAATCTGATGATAAAGTGGATGAGGATGAGGGTGAGGATGATGATGAGGAGGAGGAGGGGTCTAGGAAGAACAGCAAGAAGAGGAGGCGTCTAGCAGTAGTAGTAGTAGTAGTAGTAGTAGTAGTAGCAGTAGTAGTAGTAGTAGTAGTAGTAGTAGTAGTAGTAGTAGTAGTAGTAGTAGTAGTAGTAGTGGTGGTGGTAGTAGTAGTAGTAGTAGTAGTAGTCG